CTGCATCACAAGTACAACACCGTAGTTCAAGGACAACAAAGCGAGCTACTGAGCAAATTGACCATGCTAGAAAAGTTGTCCATATTCCAGCAGCTAGCAGTGCTTAGCTCAGTACCTGGATGGGAAACCACAAGGGAAAGCTAGGTGTTAGTGAGACCAGCAGGGGGAGCCCAACCTGCAGTCTGTGTGGGTCCTAATACCCTAGTTTAGTGACGGGGACTATATACTGCTCACTGAGTGCCATCTTTTGGATGAGACGTTAAACCGAGGTCCTGACTCTCTGTGGTCGTTAAAAATCCCAGGATGTTCTTTGAAAAAAAGTAGGGGTTGAACCCTGGCATCATGGCCAAATTTACCCACTGGCCTCTGTCCATCATGGCCTCCTAACCATTCCCATATCTTAATCGGCTTCATCCTTCTATCTCCTCTTTAACAATCAGCTGGTGTGTGGTGTGCGGTCTGGCGCAATATGGCTGCCGTCGTGTCATCTGGGTGGATGCTGCACAATGGTAATGGATGAGGAGATTCCCCCCAATGTATAAAGCACCTTGAGTGTCCAGAAAAACACTATATAAATGTAAGAAAATATTATTATAATTATTATATGGATATAGATAGGTTTCTAATCTGTTTATAAACCAGTCATTTCTAAGCTGTTTTGTTTGATACCTATATGCCTGTGGTAATAAATGTTGACTTTTATGTACTATAATGTACTATACTCAACTTAATCTCATTGAAAAATGTATCTTTTTTTTTTTTTTTTTTTACATTTTTGATGTATTTGCAGTTCATTCTTATTTGTACATTTTTTTTTTTTTAGATTAGAGTGTGACCAGAGTGCGAATTACAGGTTTTTTTGGGGGGATTGACCCCCCTAATTAACACTTGAACCCCCCCCTGAAGGACATCAAAACAAGACGTACGGAGGGTCAGTCTTTTAATTGACCTTAATTAGTAGAGTCCTTTAATTGACCTTAATTGGGGGAGTCCTTTAATTGACCTTAATTAGGTCAATAATATGAGTCCCTAACCCCGCTAATATACACTTGATCCCCCCTAAAGGATATCTGTCACGATTGCAGGTTTGTGCGCTCTCCCGGAATGTCCGTGTGATCATGTGGGTTTGTTTTGCTTTTGTGGCCCACGTGTATTGTTTTGGTCACGTGGCCTTACGTCACTCCGCTGGATTGATTTTTCGCCAGCTGACATCATCGTGACTATATAAGTGCTACGTGTTTAATGTTCATTGTCAGTTCGTTACGTGTACTCATGTGTGTCTTTCTGTCTGTGCTCAGGACCGTGAGGAGTTTCTGCTAGAGCCTGATTTCCTGTTTTGATTCCTGTCCTGTTCCCCTAGCCTTAGCACCGCACTCTTTTGTTGCACCTGTTTTTTGAGTTTGACTGTGTCTAATAAATTCCTTTGTTCACTCGCTATTGGATCCTACCCGAACATTTATTTGAACGTGACAATATCAAAACAAGATGCATGAATGGTCAGTCCTTTAATAGTGAAGAGTAGTTTTCTCTGATCTGTATCTAATAATAATAATAATAATAATAATAATAATAATAATAATAATAATAATAATAAAATAAATAAAATAATAGACAATATAAAAAAAACTTTGATAACCCCTATAACAGTTCATAACATTGTGGATAATTGCATCAATCAGTCTGAAACAAACAGATCAGAGCACCAATACACATTGTACGTATTCAAATTTTTTTCAACATTTTTCTTGTAAAAGATGTTATCAACATACAGCCTGATGTAAAATTAGATGCATAGTTTTTTTTTTTTTTTTTATATATATAGTTTGACATAACCTCTGAAATAAATATTAAGAGGTTACTGTAGGTCAAAAAAAACTAAATACACATCAACACACTGAAAAAGTAAATGCGCTTTATTAATATAATAGATGCAATTAAAAAATACATATATTTAATTAGCTTAATCATGTATTATACAAACTATAATTACAGAAAAATGTTGACCCCCATTGTCAATGTATAATTCACACCCTGGGTGTGAATGAGTTGTACAAAAACATAAAAATTACAATTTACTCACATCTATATACTGTACATGGATGAATTTACAACAGTTAAATATGTTCATTTATCACATGATTAAAGAATAAAAGAGAAAAAAAAACTATAAAAAAAGTAGTGCAGTGGAATTCAAAAATGTTCTTAAGGGCTTAGCACCTAGACTGCAGCTCTACACAAGACATTTCGCCATAGGAGAAATTGTTGTGTTCAACTGAGCCTGGTTTCTGTCTAGGTTTTGTAATTCTTCACTTTCGACAATTGGTGAATTCTTTTCCTTGCCGCTGTTGGCACTGGCTTACATGGTTCGGGACCTGCAGAGCTGCGCATCGATGGATTTGCTCTTCAATGTTTGAACTCTCAGCAGTGAATATTAAACCACACAGAACTGAACTTGACACTGTTTTACTATATTTACTATAATTTTATATGTGAAGCTGATTTGACACGATCTACATTGTAAAAGCGCTATACAAACAAAGATGAATTGAATTTAATTTAATTTAATTTCTGACGTTGTGACAAATCTGTAAAAATAACTAAAATCGCTTTATGTGCAGGACAAACGCACTTCACTAAAAAGCTTAGGTCAAAAAATTCAGACGTCTCACTAATATCTGCCTGCAGGACAGGTTATACACACCGCCCTCTCCATGTTTAACAAATGGGATTTTTCTTTGGATTAATTATGATTATATGATATTTTACTTACTTGCGATTGGGTCTGTAAGATTTAGATACCTCTATTGTCATTTGCACAGCAATTTAAAAACATAGAGCAATACAAAGTAATAAAAAATGCTTTATTCTCTCGGGTTCACTTCTTCCTCACTGTAAAGGCCTTTCCCCAACGTTCTTTCCACCAGAGACACAATAATCAGTCAGCATGGCAAACACCTCCTCGTTGCTAATTAGAACGGCTGTATTTTTAGATGTGTGCCAAATACACAACAAAGGCGCTCAGTTCCATCTGCATCATATGCATGGCAGAGAGCATTTCTGTCTAGAGAATTCTTCACATGCTGTCACTGATTGTCTCTTTTCTATATGACTGAGAGGAGACAGTGTTTATATAGTATGCTGTTTGTTCTACGGAACATGAGGTTTCTTACAAAAGGCTTCATTTTTCTCATAGTACTTTATCTTATAGACTTAAGGGGCTTCAATTTTGTCCTTTTAACAAGATGTAAAAGCAGTCTTTCATGTTTTCAGAATATGTCCGTGTAGTTTCAGGTCAAAATACCCATCAGATTATTTATTATACCATGCTGAATATGTCAATTTTGGGGTACGAGGGAATTGTAGATGTTTTTATGCCTTTGCCTTTAAATAAACATGAGATGGTTCTCCCCACCAACTTAAATTAGGTTCTTTCTGCCTACTCTTCGAACATTTCACTTCAGAGTAGAATAACCAGGATTTAGATGTCAGCATAAACACAGCAAAATGACAAACAGCAAATAAGACATGGTGAAACCCCAAAGTCACAAATACCATTGCAAGATGAATGAGCCACACACCGTTACAACATTAGCCCCTTTCACACATACAGACACGGAAAGGTGTGTATATGTGAACAGGCCCTTTTTGAACATACCGGTAAATTCGTTCCGGCTATTTTTCAGAAAGAGAAGTTGTAACATTACTGCTAATTTGGCGGAATGCTGCGCTGTGCAAATGCAGAAGGAAGATTGCCAGAAAGAGCACGTGCACATCTAGAACGTGATGATGTTAGACGTCTACATAAGCTAATCATAACAGTCAGACGCATTCACGTCCAAGTGGTTTATGAAAATAAAAGCCTTTGAATGTTTTTCCAGAAACATTTAACTGCTAGATGTTAGTCAGATAACATTTCTATGTTCTTTCTTAATGCCAACTGTGTGAATAATTATCGATAAGATGCTTATGATAAGCCGTTGTTTGTTTACCTTCAAGCTCCGCTTTCTTCAGTTGAGTGGCGCTACGCGTGTGCACGTGAAGGAGCCGGTGAGCGCCAGCACACACACATATCATGTACATCTTGACATGAAAAAGTGTTCCTCCATATGTTTTCATCGAAGTGGTTCACAATACTGATCCATCCACAGAGTTTGTAATGTGGTCAAATGTTTACAAATACAAGCCCAGCCATTTAGAGCTCATTTTTGGTTAATGATGTCAGAATTTACCGGTATTTTGGAATAGATGTGTGAATGGTCTTTTCTGGAAAAAATTCGTAACGTCCTCGCCTGTGTGAACAGCGCTTTTTTGAATTTACCGGTAAAGTCGTTCCGGAAATTTTCCGGATATTTACCGGTATCACTGTGTGAAAGGGGCTAATATTCATACACAAAGAATCAAACACACATGCAGACGTTTAACACAATGTGCTGTTTTTGCTTATTGCTAATGTGACTGGTTGCCCATCAAACTTGCTCATATGTGCTGCTGTATAGAGATCCAGTACAGCTAAGTTAGTGTACAAAATAAACCTGATTTAACGAAGAATCCTCGTTTATGATTGTGTACACTGTGCAGTTGGTCCAGCAATGATGAAATACATAGCTCAAAAGTATAGTTTAAAATGCTATAAAAATACTAAGTGTACCAATTACTGCTTCTTGAAGTGCAGTTGGATCAAAGAGAGTTGGAACAGATCTTTTAATCCCAGTTTCTTTGCAAATCCTGTATTGTATACATGACAATACAAATAAATCCTAAGACATGGTAAAATGTGACTGTCAATCAATATTGGCAGGCAGGGAAAACTGCACTTCTATGTTTTGTGGTGGGCCCAAAAATCACTGGGATTTGAATCATATTTTAATGTAAAAAAGGGATGTGTTGTGTTTATATCACTCCAATATGACCATGGGCACACTTTACCTACATAGATTTCTGTCCAAACAGCTTTTAAAAGTTTACTTTCAATGATCGCATATTTTACCAGCTTTCCTCACCTTTGACCTCCATCTCATTTTTGAACCATCGGACGTCAGCCGCAGGTTTGCTGCCAGAGGTCACGCAGGTCAGAGTGATGTGATCTCCCTCCAGGACCGGCTTGGTGAGTCCATTGATCTCTGGTTTCTTAGGCACCCCTGAAAAAGAAGCAGACATGTGATTTAGAGAGAAAGGTAGAGAGGTGGAACTCAATTCTTTATGGCAGCTCTAAATATAAACAGTAGGTGAATGTAACGTTAATAGAGAACGATTAGAGATTTTATTTATATCTTCTGTGAACCACCTTTTGTTTTGCCTGAGGCTTTTTGTCGTTCACTGGGGTTAATTTAAATTTAGACTCTTTCATTTAGTGGTTATTTGATCCTATTATTGCAGAGTTTTTAAAAGCAGCAGGGTATTTACGATTAAATTTAGCTTCTAATTTGGAACGTCAATCAATCTAAGATTTCAAATCGAATGAATTACATATGCTGACTAATTAACAAATTAAAATAAATTAATTACATCTACCCTAACATTCAAGAGCTTTGAACTCTCTTTGCCTATCCAGGTTGCATGTACAATATTCATTCAAAGATACAGATTGATTTTACTGAACTGGAAACAAAATGACCCTTCCTGCTGCTCCACATTGATAAAAAATCTTATGCCCTGCCTGCAACTTGAGAAGACTTTCCCTTAAAAATAAAACTAAGAATTTCTATGTAACATGGAATCCTTCTTTGAGTACTTGAGGACTCCAAGAACCTTGAAAGTGCTGACTCTCTTTACTGGTGTCCCGTTGATGGTGATAGGGGTGTGTTCTCTCTTCTCTCACCTGAAATCCACCACCAGCTCCTTGGTTTTGCTGATGTTGAGTGAGAGGTGGTTTTCCTCACACCATTGCATCAAGTTAATTCAAAAATATATTTTTTACTTATAACTAAGGCCAGGTATAATTTGGCGATTTATTTTTTTACTTTTTATTTATTTTTTATATATATTTTTTCATATATGTGCAGAATTTTGTAAAAAAATCTGTGGGTATATGCAAACTGATTTTGCAGAAAGCCGAACAGATAATAAAAAATAAAAAAAAACTCACATTGCATACATAATTTCACAAGTATATCTGAAGTATTTACATATCATTTAATATTATTACTGAAGACAAAATAAAAAAAAAACAGAATATATATTTATTCACACTTACAGCAAATAAATAAATAGAAATAATGATGTGTTTAAAAAAGTTTTTGTGATCACAGATTCCATGCGAGCCAGCTTATAACACACCTGAGATCACCTGACAGAGAAGACCTCAAACGTTTGTTTCCACGTACAAAAGCCATCAGCATTTCAATCTTATGAACCGTTTCAAGCACACAGGAAACTCTGTGGCCCACAAATACATTACTGTGTCAGGAGCTTCCTCTCTGAGGTAGCGGCCTGAGACAAAGAAAAATCAATAGGGAACATTAGTCAGGAAAATTAGATATTGGGTTCGCTTTGATTGAAGATGAGATCAGACGTTTGGCATTCAGTTCACAGGCCTTATTGCTCCCCTGAGTAAGAGACCTTAATCACATTCCTGAGAAATAAATCAAAGCAAAAACAAACCACAATGTACTGTGCATTAAAAAGCAACAGAGTAAATACATCAGTCATTCCACAGCATTGTGGCCTGTAACCTCTGCTGGACGCTGTGCTGTTTGTTAATACTGTCCCAAGATGACATAAAGGAAAACGGCAGATACCAAGCTGTCGCTGCTGATTGATTCATTTCTTGATATCTGATACACAAAGGTTTTGGAAAAAAACATGTAAAGTCAAATTCAATTGTGCTACTTTGTTGTCTCATATTTCTATGTCTGTGCATATTTTTTTATTGATTGTGGCAGCAGTAATTCATCAAAAAATATGTTTCATGGTTTTAAAAGTACACACATACAGTTTAGTAATTTGCTCAAAAAACACTGATCTTAAACACTACATCTTCAATCCTCATGCAGTGTGCACTAGTTGTTAATGATGTTTAAAATGTTTTAGCTTAAAACTTTATTAATACCCTTAGAGGAATTACTTCTGTAAACTAATTCTTTCATATGTGCAATACATTGTAAAAAACGTTGAGTTCCACACAATTATTTCATGTTATCAGTGTTAGAATTAAAAATCTAAAGTTGATTTCTATTTCTCAAATTTGGAAAAACAGTATAGGTCCAGTTGGTGTGGAATAGCAGTATAACTCCAATTCATCATATCACTTTAAACCACTAAAGATCTGTTTCTTTTATCTTAGTTTTAATACAGTAACAAAAACTTTACATTATTATTATTAATTTAAAAACAGAAAATACAGTATGAACAATGTACAATACATAGACCTTCTTACAGTACAGGCAATAACAAATCAATTATTAACAATAAACAATTTCTCCAAACTGTTTGTTTATACAAAGTTCACACATACAATTAATGTCACATGGTTATCGCATTTTTTATTTTTTGGACTTATATTTGTTCATCACACACACTCATTGTATTTGTACTTGGTAATTGTAAATATGTAGTTTAAACAAGCAGCAAAACATTTTTGAGTGTAAAGCATAATTGGGAATCATGTTTAGTGTTGCCAAATCATGCTAAAAAATAGAAACCAAAAAACAAAACAAAAAAATAAACCATCTAAGCAAAATATTCCAACCACCACCTGTGTACATTATTAACTTTATACACTGGATGACTTAAGCCCCGAAGACCAATATGTGGACCTGGCAACCGTTCAAAAGTAAGCTCTGAGAAGCAACCTTCAAAACATAAACAAACACGCTGCCTCTGTTGAGAGGGTTTAGTTAAAGTCTGCATGAAATCATGAAACTTACTTTATGTTCGTTTTGCTGGCACAGATTATTAGTCTTCAGCTGAACATTTATTTGTTGCAAGCTAATAATTTTTTTGGGTCATCTTTAATTAAAATTTACCGTTTGCTTCCACTATAAATGGTGGTCAGACCTTCACTGATAATGTCAGTTTAAAAGCTTGGGCAAAATGTGTCTAACCACACACTTCTTACCATTAGTTTGCTGCAAAAATGTGAGGAAATCAAAAATCAAACCCTACTCAATATTCAGATTGTGTTATTAACGGGTCATCATACTGAAATAAAAGTGTGTTCAAGTCTGGTTCAAATACTGCTGGTAGCTTGTTATAGGGTCTGAAAACACCAAAGCACATCTTTTAAGATGTTGACAGTCATATATATGTCCGACATTGCTAAAAACACTATTAGGACACATGTATTTAGCTAACAATTGAAAATTGATTATTTTTGCGCTGTTTAGAGCAAATTTGTTCTTCCAGTTAAAAAAAAAAATTTAAGCAGTGTCACAACAATGGGATTCCAGTGGGAGACTGACTGTCTGTACTGGCCAGTACAAAGTGACGTCTTTGATTTTTTAGCACATCAGTTCGATGATTCATGAGAAAGACTTGGTTCGAACCAATCAGCGCGCTCTATTGTGAATGAGGTGCAACTTCATTATTATGCATGATATAGCTTCGAAGACTCCTTTACAGTTTTCAGAAAGACGCCACATTGTGTTACCAATCGTAATTCAAAAAAGTAGTAGAAGAATTGTTCGAAGACATGAGTAGTCAATGTTTATAAATAAACTGCAACAAAGGTTTTGTTTCCATTTCCCCGCAATGAGAATAGAGCTTGGGTGTAGACCCACATATGTGGATTACAGTGGTCTGCTAAAAACGACAAAAATATGTTTGTAAGAAATATTTTTTACCCCAGAGCTTTTCGAATCTTGAAATGGTAAAATGTTGATTTGCCACTTGTCTTCTTTTAAAAAAGACACAGTTCCAGTTTGTGTTTATTTTCCTGTCTCTGCAAATTAGGTAAGTGTGTGATCAATGTTTTTTCTTTATGTTTCTTCAGATGGCAAAGTTAGTTAGAATTGTCAGCGGTACTCTTTCAGTTTTTAAAGACATTCATTCATTTATTCATTCATTCATTCATTCATTTTTTTGTGGCCTGAACCAGCGACCTTCTTGCTGTGAGGTGACAGCACTATCTTCTGCCCCACTGCGTCACCCTTTTAAAAACATAGCTTAGTCAAAATGAAAAGTTTATAGTAATCTCACTACAATATTATGGACTGAAAATCCTCCACTTCCACACAGCTTTCAAATCGGCTGTAAATGCTGCTTTCCGAATCACTGTCTATCTCCCCTGCATCTGTGTTTGTGTTGCAGGTTTGAAAATCAGCTGTTGTGCATGTAATAAAACTCCCACTTTTCATGCAAACGCTTCTATCTTTCACCACACGAAACTCCCAACTAAACTAAGCTGGACTCACCCACTTTCCGAACTATTCAAAGGAGAAGTGTGAAAACATCCTGCTGAGACAGGGGGGTTTCACGGCCCTTACAAATAATGCACAGTAGATGCCAGAATGTTTCGGATACACACAAAAATACTTTAGGATATTAACTGCAGTTGTCACTCCTGAAGCCTTACAATCTATAGCAGAAACACAATATCCATTTCAAATAATATCTTTAACAACATATGTAGCATAATGTGTAATTAATCTTGCATGTTTTTCCAACAACATTGAAATGAATTGTATCCATTCATGTATTCACAATGAGAAAAACACTAATGCAATGCAGGCTTGTTGACAAGAGTGTACAACTGTAATGATTTTAATGGTGTGCGCCAACTAATTAAAACGAGACTAGCTAATTGGGCTCCTAATTAATGCAGAAATATGGCATTAAGCACTGTTTGTGGGCTGTCGCAGCTGACATTAACTCTGGTATGTTTGGGTCTTGATACAAAGTCTGTTTGACTTTTGATTGACAAAAGTAGTAAAAAGTTGATAGTGGAAACTAATTAAACTTCTTTCTGTGTCACTTCTCAACACTGTTCTGTGATCATCTGTGTCTTTGTTGAAGGCGACCGGGTGAATCCATTTAATTAAATCCTGATCCAGGCCAAACTTAGATTTGAAACGCCCCCACTGAGGTAAAATTCTAATTATCTATCTACTTTCTGGAAACGACAAATTTGATCATTTTCTATTGCCTTGTTAATGGTTCAGTGTAGCTCATTGTCAACCAGTTTAGACTGCTTGCACACGCCAATAGCTCTCTCCACCAACAAATGTGTCCATGAACATTCATAAACACTTTGGTTCAGAGGTTTGGGGCTGGTAATAATTTTTATATTTTTAAAAGATTCTTATAGGGTGGACTGCATTTAATTGATCATGAATGCAACAAAATACAATAATATTGTGAATTATACATGTCTAATGAAAGATACACCTATTTAAATTATTACGACTTTTATTTACTGATACAGTTTCAATTTACTAGAACATCTGTTTTAAGCTGCTTTGACACTATCTACATTGTAAAAGTGCTATAGAAACAAACACGAATTGAACTGAATTGATTTAAAAAAAGTTATATTTGTCAAAAATTAATAAGATCAATAATAGCAAACCCTAGAGCCCCGAACTTAACTCTATTTACAATTTTTTGGGAAGTGCTGAAGAAGACTTTGCACACTGTTCTGACTCCCCCATCAATAATGCAAGATCTTGAAGACAAATTTATGGACAGACTCTGGACAGGAATAAATGTTGTGGCATTGTAGAAGCATATTGAAACCATGCTGTATGTGCCTTTTTTGGATCGGCAGTGTGTGTGTGTGTGTGTGTTTGTGTGTGTGTGTGTGTGTGTGTGTGTGTTTGTGTGTGCACTGTAAAAAAAATCTTCATGCCACCTTAAAATTTTAAGTTATAACATAAGTTACAACATGGTTAAAAGTTTCAATCTTAAAAGCAAAGCTGTAAAGGCATTGCTTAATTGAATGATAAAAGAAATAGTTTAAATGTAAATATACAAAAAGTAAAAAAAAACAGATAAACATGTTTATAAAAAACATTTAAAAAGTAAAACTAATAAGGGTTTACTTTAAAATTACACAAATAAAAAAATTGTTAGTAAAAATTGTTAAAAAATGGTCACTTAATATAGAGAGGTGCACACAAAATTACAATTTATTACTTTAATTTTTACATAATTTTAAATGTACTTACCAAAACAGGAAAAAGCAGTGTAAATGACACGGAAATTTCATTGTATAAAACAGACACATTGCTGTAAATTGTCATTAATTATATAATACATAAAATAGCAGTCAAGCTGTTAATTTACAGATATTGTGTTTACAGTAACGTTTCTTTTAAATATATTTTCTGTAAATGTTTTTTTTTTTTTTTTTTTACAGTGTACTTTACTTAAATAGTGAAGTTGTCTTAACTTAGGTTAAAATTGACAGGACTTGACAAAAAGACATTCATTGTCTGACATCACCCAAAAATAAATAAATATAAAGTAAAATCATTACAATAAATAAAAATTAATACATTAGCTAATTATATGATTTACACTATTATAAATTATATAATGTATTACAAAATTACAAAACACTTACAAACTCAATTTTAAAGCAGATTTATTTATAAAAATTGTTTGGTTTTTTTTGCACATATTTGAATTATTTAAAACTCAGACTTTAAAAAAAAATTAACTTATATATTATATTATTTAGTTCAGGTGACTCTTTATAATAAGTTTAATAAGTTCAGCCATGTAAAGTTTTGATATATATACAATCCAGATAAGTTAACATAACTCAAAATATTAAGTTGCACTAACTAACTAATTGGCAAAATCATGTATAATTAATTACATATCAAAAATATCTGAAAAAGGTTAACTGTGTGAAATACAGCAAGGTTCATGTAGCAATTTTCCACCTTTATGCCAAATAACAAATTCCCTGACTTTTACAGACTAAAAAGCTGAATTTGCATGACATCTAATGAATAGAAAAACAGGCTGCTGTTGCTTTGCTTATGATAATATTATATTAAAATTGTTTTAGCTTGAATATCATTTTGCATGACTTTAATATCTACTCCGAGAACAACAATGAATAATTTACCTCAGTTTTTATAAAAACTAGAGGTATACCATAAGTGCTTGCTCTCTCGCACAACTGGTAGCTTGCTAGTAGTTTTAAGTAAAGTTTCTGTCATTACTTTTTAACACCTAGTCTTTAAAGTGTCCCTTTTTAAAGCCCAAACTCTTAAAATTTTCATTATTTAAGTATGTAAATTGCCATTTTTCTCACACCTGATTTCAATAATTTGTTTGAAGAAACTTTTTCTGCTTTAATTAAAAAAATTAAAAAAGACTTATTAAAGTGGACTCCTTCGCCAATTTCCCTGCTTAGGATAGTTAATGTCATCAAAATAAACATACTTCCTCGACTAAATTACCTTTTTCAAAATCTTCCATGCTATTTAGCTTCATCATTTTTTAAAACATTGAATTCTTGCATATCTCTGTTTATTTGGAATAATAAGTAACAGAGAGTCTGTCTTTCTAAACTTTGTAAACCAAAAGATCTTGGGGGTCTCTCCTTACCTAATCTCCAGCTTTATTATTGGGCTGCTCAACTCCAAAGCATAACAAGCTGGGTTACGAATAGGCAGGACGCTCTGTGGATTGACTTTGAATTTTTATTTTGCCATCCAAGAGGATTAGAATTTCTCTGGTTTATTAATCATATAAATCATGTAATCTCTTTTACTGACAATATAATTGTCTATAATACATTAGTGGTTTGGAATGATGTGAAAAAACATTTGAACATCCCCCAAATTATATCCATCTATTCCCCTTTGCCTTTGAACCCAGCCCTCCCCACCCAGATTAAGAGCATCGGATTGCAGGACTGGAGTTCTAAAGGTCTGTCTGACTTTGCCGGAATGTTTACCTCTGCAATTGTGAAATCATTTGAACAAATTAGAACAGAGTTTAACATTCCCTCCGAAGACTTTTTAAAATATCTTCAAACTCAACATTATATAGAGTCCCTACTAAAACAAAACCAACTGGAAGAAACCATGCTGTCAGTAAGTTATTTTAAAGGGATTATTTCTAAATTCTAAGCCTCATTAGTTTACTCTGATTCCTCAGTTTATAATTCCTTGAAACCACTATGGGGACAGGACCTTGGAGTTCTGTTTGACCCTGAAGATTGGTCCAAGATCTGTGATGGTATCTTTCCAAAATGCACCTCAATTTCCATAAATGAAAATAAAAAGTTAAGTTTTTTCACAGAATTTAGTTTACACCTGTTAGTCTGCATAAAATTTTCCCAGCTTGTTTCGATCTCTGTTTTAAGTGTAAAACTTGTAAGGGCACATTTTTTTTATGTATTCTGGTCATGTGTTTACATCCAACCATTTTGAAGAGGGGTTCATTCTGCAATCCAAGAGATAATTGGAAAACGTTTTATTTTCTCCTGCTCACTTTTTTTGTTGAATGACATTCCAGAAGACCTTTTTGACTCAGAGTTCAAACCTCTGTTTACAACTTTTACATTTCAAGAAATGTATATTATTAAAATGGTCTACTTCTCAAACTCCAACTATTTCCATGTGGATTACTCAGTTGTCAGCCTTTCTTCCTTTGGAAAAATTAACTTATGACCTCAACCACAAACAGGACGAATTCAGGAGACTTTGGGAACCTCTCCAATTCTTTCTACATAAACTCTTTTTATTTGAAAAGAGTTCTGTTTTTTTCTGTTTTGTTTTGACTATTTTATTAATTGTTTATTTATTATTATTTCTCTATTTTAAACGTACATTTGTAAATGTTTATTTGATTTGCAGTGCTTGGGTTTGGTTTGTTTGTCTGTTGTCTGATTGTCTTTGTTGTTTGTACTATTTGAAAATCCTAAAAAAAAACAAAGTATGTAAATTGCCAGCTGATAAGTTTGAAAGAAATAAAATAAAGCTGAAAAATAATCTGACCATAACAATAGACTTTATTAATTTATTATAGACTTTATTAGAATTATTATTATTTTTACAAACAAACAACAACCAAAAAATCCCTGATATTCCATGACTTGGATACAATTCCACGACTTTCAATGTTTGGAATAGACCTTCTAATATTCTATTATATTCTAAAAATTCCATAAATTTTACAGGAACCCTGATGTAGACTCCGCCAAACTTAGGATTAACATGAACCAAACTGTCTATTTCCAGTTTAGTGATGTGACAAGTCAAGGCTAACTAACTACCTCATCGCTCCAGCTGGTTGAATTAGGATGTAAATGAAATGATGTCTTACCCAGGACGGTGAGGAAAGCCTTGGCTGTTTTGACAGGCATGGTGAAGAGGGAGCAGGTGTAGAGCCCCTCGTCTGACAGCGAGACCTCGCTGATGCTGATCGTCAACTCCTGCGACGTGGCTCTGACCAGTTCAATCCGGTTATCTCTCAGAGCTGCCGGAAAACAAACAATTCACACACTGATATTAATTATGACACCTTAATAAGCATGTACCATAATGGTTCAAGGTAATATTCCCGCTTTTCCCAAACAACCCAAAGTTTTAATGCATGAACACTGGCTTAACAGACAAGACCCACTCTGGATTATTGGAAATGTGTGACTTTGACACTTCTGCAATTCCTAGTTCATTATGACGTATCCACAAAGGTACTGAGCTATATAACTTTTCCCCCCAGTGCACATGCTGGTTTCAAGAGTTCACACTTAGTTGATGATTGATAATGAAGCTTGTTTGGCATGCTGTCCTGGGAGAGAATCCCTGAGCTCATAAGATTCTTGAGCCCTGGGCTACCTCGCATTAGCAGGGTGAGAGGGGAGTTTGAGCTCAGATAGATCACGATGAACTCCCCCGACTTATTTCTGGCTAATCACAGATAAAGGGATGGCTAAAGAGAGATATACGGTTTAATAAGAGTTCTGCTATGATGCCAATTTAGAATGTTCAATTTACTTAGGTGACATACTTTTAGACTGTGGGAGGAAACCGGAGGAAACCCACGCAAGCATGGGGAGAACAAGCAAACTCCGCAGAAAAATGTTGACTGGTTCAGTAGGGACTTTAATCGGTAACATTCTTGCTGTGAGGCAACAGTTCTAATCACTGGGCTGTCATGTTGCCCAATTTAGAAAGGAGGGGGAGTTGGGGTGAAAGGGCGGAATCCTCAAGATGAAGATACTGAGTTAAGAATCTCCAGTTATTTATAGTTAGTTAGGAATCGTCAGATTGGTGAATCATATGTTAGCTAATGCGGAAACAACCATGAACAATCATAAGCATGTGATCCTCTCGAAATTAGTTTCTAAATAAACTTCTCTTATTGAAAACATATCTGTGGATACAAATGGCTAAACATTAAAATGGCTGATTTATTCATTCATTTTCTTTTCGGCTTAGTCCCTTTATTAATCCAGGCTTGCCACAGCGGAATGAACCACCAACTTATCCATCACATGTTCTAAGCAGCGGATGCCCTTCCAGCTGCAACCCATCTTTGTGAATCATCCATATACACTCATTCACACTCATACACTATAGACAATTTAGCCTACCCAATTCACCTGTACCACATGTCTTTGGACTTGTGGGGGAAACCCACGCAAATGCAGGGACTTGCAATGCAGAACTTGCAAACTGACCCAGAAACTGACACAGAAATGCCAACTGACCCAGTCAAGGCTCAAAACAACGACCTTCTTGCTGTGAGGCGACAGCACTACCTACCACTCTACTGCGCTGCCCATGGCTGATTCATTTGAAAAAAAATTAAATGACTGGCTGCGTCTGAAACATTATACATACTTTATTAGGTATTTATTTAATTTATTTCAAAACCAATGAAAAAGTACATTTTGAAAAAGTACATGTGATCAGGTTGCAGTAACATAACTAATTTATTAATTAATTTTCTTGTCGCCTTAGTCCCTTTATTAAACCGGGGTCACCACAGCGGAATGAACCGCATTCACACACACACTCATACACTACGGACAATTCGCGAAGGCAGGGAGAACATGCAAACTCCACACAGAAACGCCAACTTTGCGTTCAAACCAGCGACCCAGCCACCTTCTTGCTGTGAGGCGACAGCACTACCTACTGTGCCACTGCCTCGCCTCTTAACTAATTAATTATCTTATTAAATATTACATTAAGTTAGTATCTTATCCTAATCTGGTTGCTTTTAAAATTCTTTTGTCAATTTTATGTGTACTATATAGTAGGGGAGTATATGGTTTTTCATGCATCCAGTATCTTAATGAATGGAGTACTGAATTATTTAAACAAATATAGAGATGCATAAACTGACTGGACTGTATTTTTATTGTTTATAAGAGCCCTTTGCCTTATAAATACTTATTGTGAGTCATAATACACTTACTAACCTTTATTAATGCATCATTAATAGCTTTATAAAGGGAAAACTGAATGCAGATTTTGCTCACTATGCATTTATAAAAGGTTTGAAAAGCATTACTACTATCACTGTTATAATGTATCTACAGTATGACAGTCATTATAACACAATATAAGGTTTGTTGCAACTTAATAGATACAAATATAGAATTGTAATGATTAATTATAAATACGGATAAAATTGTAATTCATTATAAGTGTGAGCTTCATAGAAAGTGTTACTGTATATTTTTGTTTATAAATGTTGACATTCTAAAACATGGAAAAAAAATGGAAAATTAAACTATTACAATTGGTGCGTCTCTAATCAAGTAATTAATTACAAAACAGCTTTATTCTGGAATGAAACACTGCAGTGTTGCTCTGAGATGTACAATGTGCTCTGGCTTTTTACTGAATGTTGGCGAGACAATATTTGTACAATGTAACTTACTCAAAATGTACTTCTTGCTAATATAGCAATCAAGCTCACACTGCTATTTGAGAAAACAACACACTTGCTTGTGTGATATTGCTTCACTATATCACATCTTATGAAAATGTCAGCTGGCACATTGTTTAAACAACAAATATGATGTTAGTTTATCAGTGACTATGTATATAACACGCTCCTCATAGGTGTGTTTTGCAGTATTGCCAAGTATTTCAGAGTGAGTCTAGATACACAAGACATGGAATTATTGAAAAAAAAAGCCATTTTAACCTAAAAGATTATAAACAAACCACATGTCATTCCATAATTATGTTCAGAGGGTAAAGATCAATTTCTTGGCTACGTGGAAAATTATTTTGTGACGCCTTTCAATCAAGGGAGCAAATGGAATATGGATCAGTCAAGATTTAAATCTAACATCACTTCAGTCAATGGCGTTCAGAATGAGGATCGATCTGAACAAATTCATGCTGGATCCATTTACAAACTCACTGTTTATGGCATTTGCAGGTTCTTTACCAAGTCGAGTATGAATAAAAGTTAAGTTCAAACTTATTATGACTGTGACCTCTGTGCAAAGGAGGCCTAAGGATGTGATTTTAGTCATTAGATCTTTTAGTGTCTGTCATCAGACAAACCTAATGAAAAGGTTAAAGTGTTAACGCGGAGGTCAAAGGCTAACGTCAGAAACGGGCCACTATTCCCCAGGCATCTTTTACACGCTTTGTTTAATGATAATGACTACACTAGGAAAGACGTCTGGTGGATCATAAGATATTCGCCATGTGGCGGCACAGTTTAATCAAAGCAGACAAGGTCACTAGTTCTAACCTTCTGCTTTCCATAAAACTCACTCAGACATTTTGAGGCTCATTGACGCTCTGTAACAACCCGCTGGAATATTCGCGGATGGCTTTATGGATGTTTTTTTTCTCAAGAGAATAGAAAGAACACATTCCCGTGGTCGATCATCAGTGTGACCTTTCAAAGCTCTTTTAATAAATAAAAAAGTTGGTCAATGGCTCAGTCGTTAGCCTTGTCATACCACCAGAAAACTTTCAATTGAATGCAGATACTGTAAAATTGCAATCTACAAGCCACACGTATTTTAAAGCAGTTCAACTGCTGTCAAGGTTCTCTTTTCTGAACAAATGCACACTACTATTGAAAAGTATATTTAATATCGCAATGTATTTCATATCTCAATATCTTAGTTTTCAATATATTGAAAAAATTCCCAGAGATGGGTTGCGGCTGGAAACGCATCCGCTGCGTAAAAACGTGCTGGATAAGTTGGTGGTTGATTCCGCTGTGGCGACCTCGGATTAATAAAGGGACTAAGCCAAAATAAAAATGAATGAATGAATGAATATAAAAAAAAAAAAAAACTTTAACAAAATCTTCCAAGAATAGCACCAACGCAAGACTAGGCATGGGACGATAACCACCTTCAAGATATACTGCAGCTTGGAAAAGTCAAGGTTTTGAAACCGCCAAAATTTTCTACTATACCATTCCTAAGGTTTGAGTAAGAGTTGATTTACTTACTTTTCAACATTATCTCCAGCAGAAAAGATATACAAAAATGTCATTTTAAATTGTAAATAAATCTGTGTTTGGCTACGCAGTGGCGCTGTAGGTAGTGCTGTCGCCTCACAGCAAGAAGGTCGCTGGTTTGAGCCTCGGCTGGGTCAGTTGGCATTTCTGTGTGGAGTCTGCATGTTCTCCCTGCGTTTGCGTGGGTTTCCTCTGGGTGCTCCAGTTTCCCCCACAAGTCCAAAGACATGCGGTACAGGTGAATTGGGTAGGCTAAATTGTCCGTAGTGTATGAGTGTGTGTGGATGTTTTCCAGAGATGGGTTGTGGCTGGAAGGGCATCCGCTGCGTAAAACAAATGCTGGATAATTTAGCGGTTCATTCTGCTGTGGCGACCCCGGATTATTAAAGGGACTAAGCCGACAAGAAAATGTATGAATGAATGAATGAATCTGTGTTTTTAAAGCAAATGAAGACAGCAGAAGTCATTGATTCATTTGAGTTGATCAGCCTGACATTTTTACAGTCCCAAACTATTTTAAATCTATCACAAAAAATTTAATATTTTGTGCTCAATAGGGAATTAAAGTTGTTGTTTTTTAACCCAGATATTTAAAAAGAATATATTTTAGACCAGTAACCACAATACTGTTATACCGTGAAACCATGAATTTTTATCCAAGGTTATCATACCGTCAGAAACTTATATCGGCCATGCCTAAGCACGACCATCTTTTAGAAGCTTTTAAATGTATAGTTAGAATGTTTTGTACATTGTGGACACTGAGTAAAGCCTGCTACTGCTGCTGGACAATCTATACAGGACACAGAACTCCATATTCTGCTCCATCAACACATGATTTTCTGCTCACGCAGTTTATACTGTCTGTTTCATGCTCTGTTTTTTCATTCTTCATTCATAACTTAAAACATAATATGAATAATTTGTATTATTTTTGTAAACTGTATGTTATTTGTATACACAGCTGTAATAGTAATGAGTAATAGCAGAATGGATAAATTAAAATTCATTAAAAAAAAAAAAAC